CACAGGTGAGTCCCCAGACACAAGCCCAGGATTTCAAAACTAGCATCTCAGAGGGAGAGGGCCTTAGGCAGCAGTGTGGTTGATCATCTTAGTCATTTCTTCTGAGAACATTCCTGATAGTTCCAGGCTATTCGAATGTATGCTAATAATACCACAAATCCTATCATTAAAAAAATTAAAATCTACCATTTACTGAATGCTAGGCACTGCACCAAGCACTACAGACATATTTCATTCAGACACTCCTCAGTCACAATATACTGTGAAGCAGGTATTGGTTTTTATTCACACGACAGAAGTTCAGGAAGCAAGCCGTGGAAGCCTCCGTCCACATTCCAGTGGGGCCTGCCCTCCAGAGGCAGGCATGGTTTGCAGTCTNTCCTGATAGTTCCAGGCTATTCGAATGTATGCTAATAATACCACAAATCCTATCATTAAAAAAATTAAAATCTACCATTTACTGAATGCTAGGCATTGCACCAAGCACTACAGACATATTTCATTCAGACACTCCTCAGTCACAATATACTGTGAAGCAGGTATTGGTTTTTATTCACACGACAGAAGTTCAGGAAGCAAGCCGTGGAAGCCTCCATCCACATTCCAGTGGGGCCTGCCCTCCAGAGGCAGGCATGGTTTGCAGTCTGTGTGTTCTCTCTGACACTGGTCTGTATTTAGTTAGTGTTATGTATACACACCCACTCGTGTGTATGCATGCACAAATACACACACATACAGCTTGTTTGTTTCTATGAAAATAGGGTCGTATCTTATTCAGTAACTTACTGTTTCACATATTCATCTATCTTTTTCTAATCTTGTATATATGAATATGTAAGAGACGGCTGCCCCAGAATCATACCCCTGACCCTTCCTCAAAAAGAAACAATCACTCTTATCTAAGTTTCAGGAGGTGAAGAGTGAAAAACAAGAACAGATTAGAATCAACTAGGCCCAAGATGGCAGAGGATTTAACTTCCAGTAGACCTTGAGCCTCATACGCTCAGTGTAATATGAAAAGTGAAAATGAAAGTGTTAGTTGCTCAGTTGTGTCCAATTCTTTGCAACCCCATGGACTGCAGCCCACCAGTCTCCTCTCTTGGTGGTGTTAGCTTCTAAATGACACAGCCACAGGCGCCATGACAGTTGACAGTTGTTGTGACAGCAATCTGAAAAGCTCATACAAGGAATGGAAAGGAGAATTGACCCATTTCTGGGTCCAAACCATACTCCTATTCTGGGATAATTCATGAATATTCCTCCCACTGTTTTTGAGTCCATCTCTTTTACTTCAACCCTCCTATATATTTGGTGTCTCCACACAAATTGGGTTGAGAAGTTGTTTTGTGAACTAGATTCCCTTTTCCCCATTCTTTGTACATTGAGTACAGCGCATGCTATTCAAGTGTCAGCATTGGTTTCATTATTGGCTACATGAATATGATCAGAAAAAGAACCTCCTTGGCCAGGACAGGGGATCTCAGCCCAGGCTAGGACCCCAACTAGGGTCAGGTTAACCAATTCAGTGGCAAGACCATAAGGAATTCTGGAATAAGCAAAAATGATTACTAGGTGTCTCTAATAGGAAAGTACATATTATTTAGAGCACACCCTTGTGGGCTGATTCTAGTCTCTGCGCTCCTTCTGCAGCTCTGTAAGTTGTAGGGAACAGAGGACACACAGGGATTCTTGACCGCTGACATGCACACTAGCTGGGCAGCCCCCATCCATGGTGCAAAACCCAGTTGGCCGTGTCCATTTGAAGATGCATTTAAAGATTTCTGATCTACACATGTGTCTCTTTTTAAGATTCTCCCTTGAATCAATTGTAACATCTCTCCAATTCACTCATTGACAATAAATTAAAGAAAACCATTCGCAAGTGTTAATTTGTTATCTATGTGAGGGTTATGATTTTATCTTCTTTGAAGACACTCTGGTAGCAACAGACATGACTCTTATTGTAGAGATAGGGAGATTGAGACTTGGAAAAGCTAAGCAAGCTTACCTACCAGGTATCATCATTGGTAAAAAGCAAAGTTTTAATTCAAACACAGGTTGACCTTCCCACTCCACCATCTGCCACTTCATCTCACCCAGTTACCATGCCATCCTGCCTAGATAATTTTGAATATTTATTTATTTACTTATGGCTGCGCCAGACCTTCATTACAGCATGTGGGATCTTAGTTCCCCAAACAGGGATCAAATCCATGTCCCCTGCATGGGAATGCAGATTTTTAACCACTGGACCACTGGATAACTTTAAAGGAATGGACACTGGCTGTCAGGTACTAGTCTAGCTATTTTAGGTGTGTTAATTCATTTAACTCTCCCCTCAGTCTCTGAAGTGAGTGTGAGTCTAGCCCACCTTCCAAAAGAACAAGTTGTGTGTAGAGAGATCAGGCAGTCAAAATGGGGTGCAGAGCCTGGCATCAAGGCTGAAGCTCTTAGCAGCCACTTGTCCCTTCTACCTCTCTTTTCCTCCATCTAAATTTTGGTAAACTGAAGCCACCTTGGTTAGTCATGTGGTTATCTGTAAGATGAAAGTATTAGTCACTCAGTCATGTCTGACTACATGCGACCCCATGGACGCCTGCCAGGATCCTCTGTCCATGGGATTTCCCAGGCAAGAATACTGGAGTGGAATAGCCATTCCCTTCACCAGGGGATCTTCCCACCCCTCCTCCCCCCTCCCCCCCGCCAGAGATTGAACCTGGGTCTCCTGCATTGCAAGTGGATTCTTTACCATCTGAGTTACCAAGGAAGCCCCATCTGTAAGGTACCAATGTCTAGAAACTTCAATTTTGAAAGGAGCTCGAGGCAGTGTATTCATTTCCTAAGACTAAGTGCCACAAACCAGGCACCGAAAAACAACAGAAATGTACTCATTCTCAGTTTTGGAGGCTAGAAGTCTGAGATCAAGGTGTTGTTGGCAGGGCTGCTCTCTGTCTGTCAGCTCCAGGGGAGTCCTCCCCCACCTCCGCTAGCTCCTGGTGTTTGCTGGTGATGCTAGGTTCTCCTTCATTTGGAGATGGATCTCTCCCATCCTCTGCCCTTCCACGGCATTCTCCTGGCACATCTCAGTGACGTCCTACCCTCTTCCCTCTGTTCCTGTCTGTGTCCAAATTTCCCTTTTTACAAGGACACCAGTTATATTGAATTGGAGTCCACCTAAAGACCTCATCTTAGCTTGCTTAAATCTGCAAAGACTCTATTTCCAAATAAGGTCATATGCGGAGGTAAGGAGTGTTAAACCTACAGTATCTCTTTTTGAGGGGTCGGTAGGGAGATACAATCCAGCCCATAAAGGGGAGCATACTGAAGTTCAGCCTTTCCCAAAGTATGCCCACAGTGTGCTCCTCTCAACAAAGCTCTGTAGAGAAAAGGCTTCTGTGGTCCCAAAGATTGGGAAACTCCTGCTCCCTGCCTGCCAGCCCTCACAGTGGTGAACCTCAGAGGTCATTAGCATATAAACATCCTTAAAAGAGCTGCAAGAAGAAGCCTGCTCTCTTTAAGTTGGCATTTCCCAAACTTATTCGAGCATAGATGCTTTGGGGTGTCTTTGTTGTGCTAATAGTGTTCTGTGGAACAGACCTGGAGAAACTCATAAGACTAGACCGTGGAACCAGAGAGAGCTAGCCTCGCATGGTGACCCTGCTAGTACTGAATATGTGGCCTTAGGCAATTTATTTTCCTCTCTGAGTCTCAGTTTTCTCATCTGTAAAATGGAAATGGGAATTCCTAATTAATTATTATACTTAGGGAGGGTTCACTGCTATAATAAACAGACTCCCAATAGTCTAAGGGCTTGGAAACAATAGGGTATAAGTTTACATCTTGCTGAGGACTGGGTGGGGAACATAGGGACTGAGCAATCTTTTTTTCACACAGGCTGACAGATGTTCTGTCATTTTAAATCTGTGGTTTCCAAGGTCATCCTGGGGCTAGCCCCTGTTCCATGCAGGCAGAAGGGGATGGAGTTTAGAGAGGGCTTCCTGGGAGGTTTTCATGGGTCAGGCTCTGTAGTGGAGCAACTCACTTCTGCTCACCACCGCCTGGTCAGAACCCAGTTCTCTGGGTGCAACTAGCAGTAAAGCTGGAAACTGTGGTCCCTGAATGAGCAGCTACTTCCCATCAAGGCCTCAACCCTAAAGAAACGGAAGTAGGAATTTCGACTGAAGCCACACTTACCTTGCAGGTGTGTTCTGAGGATTAAATGAGGCTTTTGACATATGCAAAGTCTTAAGCATCACAGATAACTAAATAAATGGCAACCATTTAAAAAGGAGAAGGATATGACAGGGAAGTGCCTTGAGAGATGAAATCAGAGACAAGCCCAGGGCAGTGCGGACATGTGGGCCCATCCTCTTCTTTCTTCCCAAGGCATCCTGGTGGCCGCTTGTCTGGTGTGTGGCGGGAATGGGGAACACAACATTTCAGGGTGTCGTTCAACCCAGAGCAGCTTCACCCCCTCCCACTTCCTTTCCAGCCAGATGGAGCAGTGTGTGCTCCAGAGTCTTGACAGCCTCACAGCTTCCCAGCGGTGGCCCCCAGGACTGCAGATCCCACCTTCCTGCGGTTGCAGAGCCAGCTGAGGGATGGGCAGCACGCCAGGCCCCTGGAGCACACGCCAACTGTAGACTCTCAGGATGCTGGGGGGAAGGGGAGGGGCTCTCACCAGATCACCAAGACCACAGCCTCTTTAGCAAAGGCCTCCAGAGACCAACAACCCATGGCTTCCTCCTGTCCATGATTTCCGCATCTACCTGGCCATGTAGCACAAGTGAGAACAATCTCTAGACCTCCTGCTCTCTGGACTGCATTGGTCTCAAGGGACCATAATGGGTCAGTAAAGCAAGCCCTCTGCCTTCCAAGAATTCCTGCTTAAAGTCCATATTAGTTATTAAAACAACTGCATCACATATCACATCCAGCCCCTCCACACAAATCCAGTTCCAACAGATGTCGCCCAGTAACCCCTCCCCACCGTTCTTGCCTGTAAATAAGCTTTCAGAGCTGCCATCAATGTGTACATACAACTCTGCTCTTGACTCTTCTCACTCCACTTTGTATACACTTTCCCATGGATCTGGGTCATCCCGATGTTGAATACTTCACAGAACTGCAAAATATATGGGAGACATATTTTGTTTTAGAATCTGAATACCCAGAACATCTGGGTGATGCTGAGACAACCAGAGAGATTCTTGCTGACGCTGCAAGTCTCCAAGTCCACGTCCCCTCGCAGAGGAAAATGCCGTGTTTTGCATCTGTACAAACGCACTTAGGTTTTCTCCAGCACAGTGGATCGTGGGGTGTGACAGTTAGTAATTTCTTCCCTGGAAGTGGCATGACCCGCAGGAGTTAACCGTTGGCTGAGGTTGCGAGTGCAGCCAAAATTTATTGGTTTTGATCCCCTCACCGTTCTCTGCGTAAATTAAAATGTGACATTATTACACCCTGCAACAGCCCACTGGTGACCTTTAGCACTCTCCCCATTCTGCAGCCATTATTCAGCATAATTTGACTGCAAGTTTGAGGCAAGCCCGGAGAGCAGGGAGGGCTGGGTGGGGGCAGGGGATGGCAGAGTCCAAATTAGAAACAGATTTAAAGAGCATTTGCAGGGAATTAGGCAGCGGGCCAGGAGTGCTTGCTGGCAGCGTGCGGAACCCCTCTTTAGGGACTGTCAGCTCCTCCTAGGTTTCCACTGCGGATGTTTCCCGGCCAGAACGCAGCTGGGTTTCAGTTGTCAAAGCCTCAGCCAAGACATCTGAGCAGGGGAAGAGTGCCTGTGTGCACACGCGTGTAGGAGCCCAGGCCACCTTCACACGCGCCAGCGACTCCAAGGCTGCCCCCCCGTGTGGTTCCACACATCCACAACTGCAAAGGCTTGTCCTGAACCGGACACATACCCCCAGACGTGCAGAGGTGTGAACAGACACAGGTGCACGTGGAGGAAACCAAGATGGGCACACTCCATGTGTACACAAGGAGATTTGGGCTGCGCCCCAGCCCACACTTTCTAAGAGGAATTCCAGAGCATGTTTCTCAGTCCACACCACCACCACACAGCAAGGCTCGCCGTGTGACCTGGGGCTGGGGTTAGCCCTTCAGCCTCTCTGAACTTCTGTGTCTTTAACCAGGAAGTGTAAATAATGGCAGGTGTGATGATCAAAATGAGATAATAAAGGTGAACACTCGGGGACAGAGATGTGAGAAATGGCGAGGGGATGGCAGTGGTGAAGATAACTAACCTTTGCTTCACATCCTTTGTAGAGGAGACAGAAAGCATTTCTCTGACTGGATTTTCAGCACAATAAAGGATGTGAAGCCTCTTACATCACATGGGGAGAGCAAGAGCCACTGTGGCCGAGAAGAGGCGCATGCGCACAGCCCCCACGGGCACAGCTCTGTGGGTACAGGCCCATCAGTCAGCTGCCCTGGGGAAGGGGAGGGGGCTTGGTCATGTATAACAGGCGCTGAGACCGACGATCTGCTTTGCCATCTCCCTTCCTCCATACATGCCTTGTTCCCCTGCTGACCCTGCCACACCATCTCATCCTCCACCCACACTCCTGGGGAGAAATAGCTCCCCTTTGCTCCTCTCCCTTCTCACCTCTGGGGCTTCCCTCCAGTCATCCAAACTCCCAGAACCCTACTCCTCCCCGAGTCCCTCAGCCTCTGATCTATCCAAGGGCACCATCTGCCCTTACCTGGGAATATCCTAAGCAACAACAGGCCCTAGTTCTGGGTGCTGGGGGTATGAGAAAGAGCAGTCAGACATGAATTAGACATCACCCTGCTTGGGGGTTCATGGCCCAGTAGAGGGATCAGCCTAACACAAAACACTACAGGAGACCCGGTCAGAAAATGCCAGAACAGGGCATGAGCTCTGCATAGACTCTGGGAGGTTAGAAGCAGTAAGGCACACCTCACGGTGCAGGTTAGGACACCCTAATACAGGACAAGAACAGGATAGGTGTTGCCAGTGCCCAGATAGAGACTGCCGGTGGCACTGTCCGGAAACTCTCGGACCACACTGCACATCAGACCAGTGCCCAAACCTCGGAGGATGGTGGGAGGAATGGGGGAAAACATGAAGGTGGCCAGGGGTCAGGCGGGGAAGCAGGCATTTCTAGATCTTTAGTTCGTCATCAAATGCATGAGGATCCCCTCCTGTGTGCTGAGTGCTGGGAATGCAATGACTAGTGAGACACAGATGCTGCTTCGTGGAACTGTCAAGTGAGAACAACTGACACACACACGCCAGTGCCATGGGACATGTGCTCTATAGAAACAGGCTGGGCGTGTGGTGCTCTGAGGCACGGAGGAGCCATCTCACGCACACAGGAGGACAAGAGAAGTCTCCCAAAAGAGGTGGATGGACAGGGAGCCGAAAGGAGTTCAGGACTGGTGTCAGGAGTGACGGGAGAGATGAGACTAGACAGATTACCATGGATGGGCCACACTGGTTCACTCACTCTCACTCATCGATTCAACAAATATTATGAGCAACCACTTGGCAGGTCCTTTGCTGGAAGCTGAGACTGCAGTGGTGAGCAAGACAGCTACAGGTGGTTGAACTAAGGTTGTAACAGTGGAAATGGAGAGAAACCAGTATTTTTAAGAGTGAAACAAGTAGCTTTAATTGGATGATGGGCAGAGGAGGGAATGATCTAAGCTGATTGTCAGGTTCCTAGCTGGGTGCTGAGTGGAGGAGGAGCCCTTCCCTGATGGAGAGGGTCACAGAAATGGAAGCAGGTTGAGGGGGCTGGGAAATGAGGAGTCTGCACCACTCTTACCTGTTTGCAGGGCCAGCGGGACACTGGCAGTAGCCAGCATCCAAGGTGGGCTGTGCAGTGAGAGCTGCTGACCATCCAGACCAGAACGGAACCCCAGCTGAAGACACAGAGAACATTCGAGAATGTGGCAAGAGATTCACCAGCTGCCTGGGCTAAGAGTGGGGTTTTGGACAGAGTTCTAGTGCTAGGGAGGACCTGGGGGACTATAGGCAAAATCCTCAGTTTGGTCCAGGTGCTTCAGGTACTGGAACTGTAGCCACACAAAGGCCAGTCCCCTTCTGCTGGCAGACAGGTCAGACTTGGGTGTCCGAACCCACAAGAGGAAGCTGGGAAGGAGCCACTAGCACTCTTAGCAGTAATACTCGTGTTAGGTCTGCCCTCTCCTCAGCCCTCAGTACAGAGTTGATAGTACATGTTCCAGAAATACTCTCCTGGAGCATGAAGACACTCAAGAGAAGTAAGAGACACTAGGTGGTCTCTTATTGAGTTTTCTCTGAATTGCTGCTGGCCCCTTTCAGCTGCTTTAGGAAAAAACCCCATTTGCTTAATATCCCCCATAAAGATGGCAGCTTTTAGTGTCAACCTTTACCCTTCTGGAGCACAGGTCAGAGCCTTGAAGTGCATGTTCTTTGAAACCCCAGACACTAGCCCTACAACTGGGTTCCCTAAAAGGCTGCCATTCTGATGAAGTCCAGGCTAACTGCTTAACACAAATATTCAGACAGCACAAATCAGGCTGAAGTTTAGGGCCTGGAATAAATAAATGAGAACAAACCGCCAAGCAAAGATGCAAAGAGTGAATTTTCAATGCTAAAGCTTATCCCCTTAAGATGAGTTTCCTGTGAAGAGGTAGGTTTCAAAAGTTTGTGCTCAAGAAAGGTTGCTTCATCAGCAAATAAGACAGAGTGCAAGGCCAATCTGGAGTGACTAGTTTGTTTGTTTTTTCTTCTTCTTCTTTTTTTTTTTTTTTGGCTAAAAATTGTCAGAAGCTCACAGCTTGGGAGAGATTTCACCCATCTGCGTGATAGGACAGAGGTTATGGACAGTCAGCTGCAGGAGGGCTTTTAATAGCGCACTCCTGGCACATGATAGGTGTAACCCATGCTGATACTGGGAGGCTGAGCCCCCCAGAACAACTCACCATGGCACATTGCGATAGGGTCAACACCCTTCCTGTAATCCCAGGCTATCCTTAGTGACATGTCTCACTCAACTCAGCTGTCCCTGAGGCTGGAGAAGAGGTGGCCAAGAGGGAGCTGCCTTGCTGGAGCTCGCCAGCCCTATGGCAGCAAAGCTAAGAAAAGAACCCGGGAGTCTAGCTCCAGCTCTGAAGAGGTTCCTCATCTGTGCTGTGAACATGAACTGTGAGCATACTCAGCCTCTTTTGCCTATATTCCTCTTCATATAAAAAAGCATCCTCTTGGCATGTTGATTACTCTCCAAGGAATAGATTTATCTTAGAATCAGTGATTATAATGTATTTTGCATATACAGAAAGGATAAGAGATAAATGCAATATGCAGAGGCAATCTAGTAATAAGCATATCACACTTCTGGTTCATGGCTAGTGAAACTTGGGCTCAAATATATTTATGATAAAACTGATTTTGTAATATGCACTCCATTGACTACATCACAGATGATTTGTTTTTAAAGGCATTTCCAGAAAAAAAAAGTTCTTTTATTATCACATACTTGGAGTTTGAGATAGATTTGCATTAAATATTAAACTTAATATGTTGCATTTAATGAACAATAAGGGACTTCCCAGGTGGTCCTGGTAGTAAAGAGCCTGCCTGCAAATGCAGGAGATGTAAGAGATGAGGGTTCAATCCCTAGATCAGGAAGATTCCCTGGAGGAGAGCATGGCAACCCACTCCAGTATTCTTGCCTGGAGAATCCCATGGACAGAGGAGCCTGGCAGGTTACAGCCCACAGCGCCGCACAGTCAGATATGACAGAAGCGACTTAACACGTATGCAATGAACTATAAAGTAAACGGGAAAAGTATGATAACAAAAATCCCAAAAGTATCTCCTTGTCTCTTCCCAGATGCTGGGTCTGGAAGATCTCCATGAGAACCTGAGATGACCTGAAGTTGTCAGAGAGATATAAAATGCAAGAAAAACAACTAACAGACCAAATGCAGCAGATCCTAAAACCAAAGTGAACAGTCCGGGCTTGTATCACAGGCCCGGAGGGCGTGTGGTCCCTGATGGCCTGAGAATAGAACCAGCTGCCACCAGGATGGGAGTGGGCCGGACTTCCTGCCTTTTGGTCAGACAGACTGCCTTCCTGAATTACTAGGTCTAGGAAGCAGTGGTGACAGGGTGGGGGCGGGGTGGAGAAGTCACACGTGTCACAGACAACCCCCCATTGCAGCCCTCTTCCTCGCTGCCACCTCACTTCCCCTCTTACAGACCAGTTACCTAATCTGAGCACACTCAGATGGTATCTGGGAGCTCTAACGGCTCTGAAATCAAACAGTTCTAGAATTCAGACACAAGACCGGCAACTAAGATACAGGCAAAAGCCCAGCCCCAAAAACCAGTGCTGGATGTCATAGGTGAGACACCAAGTGTGGGGTCGAGACTCAAACAGCAGTGACTCTGCATTGAGGCCTGAGCTTGCACTCAGCAAGGCCAAGTGCCCTTACGTGCACAGTCGTGGTTCTTGCCCATGTGGGCATTGCTAGCACCGATGGGAAGACACAGCTTACACAGGTTGGTCCACCAGGCATCTAATCCATAATCCCAGTCTCTCTCCATCACACAATGCTAGACACTGGCTTACACTGGATTTATAAGCCTGGGCGCACCTAACCTTCATCCTCCCACCCCTCCTGACTCTGGTAGCACTAGGAGAAACACACCCCTGCCTCCCTTCTCCCCTGAGGAGGAGGATTCATCTAATGGGGTAAGTTTGGAAGAAGAACCTGTGCCTGCAGGGGGCAACCTTCTGGCCTTGGCCAATATATCCAAAAGGTCATCATTTCTATATGTGCTCAAAAGGCCATCATTTTCTATATGTGCTCATTTCTATATAAAGCCCATCATTTCTATACATGCCCATTTCTATATAAAGCCCATCATTTCTACATGTGCTCAAAAGCCCATCATTTTTATATGTACTCAAAAGCCACATGTGGCTGGTGGCTGCTGCATTGGACAGCACAATCTTAGAGGCTAATCCACTGACCTCCTATGTCCCAGCTTGAAGACTTCCAGGGGAGGAGAGGTCCCCACCTTTGGAATCACTCTTGTTACTTGGTGGTCACTTCTGGCTGCTAGAAACATCTTCACATCAAACTGCAACCTGCCTCCTTGTACTCTCCCACGTCTCAATTCTAGTCCTGCCCACCCCCCGCCCCGACCACGTTGAGTCCTTGGCAGCTCCTCCAATATTTAAAGACAGGATACACTCTCCCAGTTCTCCAGAGCCTGACTCTTCTCAGGATTAAACGGCCTGTGTTACCTCTGCTGTTCCTCACATGACCCAGGGTCTTTTTGGCCCTTTGTGGGTTCATCACCGTTGGACCCTGGTCGGCCACTCAACTTGCCTTTGTCTCTCTGAGAGACAGTCAGAAGGGAACACGTGCCCCTAGAAGGATACTCAGGCTTGTTTCAAATACCTTCCTGCTGCCTCCACGTCAGTCTCCAACCCTGGCACTGTTTGCTGGAAGAGAGTTTCCCATTTATTTCTCATTTGAGAACACTAGATTTATAACTGTTGTGGACACCTGTTGTTTTTGACTACCCAGCATGCAGTCTTCCTAATTTAGAAGAATCCCCAAATAGGTGAAAGCCACGGCCCTGTCTCCTTGATGGAGGCTGAAAGGGAACCGACTTCCACCCCCCACATCACAGGCTCATGCCTGAGCGGATGGTGTGAGCTCTGTTCCAGCTGTGATGCTTGGTTCCTGCATTTTTCATACATTCTTTCTGATGATTGAGAGAAGTGGCTGAAGGTGCAGTGGAGAGAGTTCTAGAATATCAGACAAACTTCCTAGTACCAGTGCTGCTAAGCAGTTCTCCAGAAGTATATTCAAACCCACCTTGGGGCTCTGAACGCAGAGCAGTTCTCTAAAATAGAGACCAAGACTGAGATAGAAGACCTGTGCCTTTTCCTGCTGTCACTAGGGACTACTGTTCCCACCTGGGAGAGGAGCCCTGAGACCCTGGATGCAGGTGGTGGCAGGGACTTGGAGTCAGGACAATCTGGACCCCATTCCAGCTCAAACCCTGATATTGAAGGACCCTGGGCAAATGGCTTTCCTACCCTGGGTCTCAGGTTTTCCACATGGAAAAGAGAGGACTGAGTGGTTTTTTAAGGTTCTTTTTCATTCTGATTCTCTATGACTCTGAACCCTGTAGGAGCTGTTATTTCCTTGAGATTTACTTACTGTTTTCCCCCTTTTTGCTGGCTTTTGTATTAACACTTTACACATTTGTGAATGGATAAAGAAAATGTGATATATCCATACCATGGACTATTATTCAGTCACAAAAAGGAATAAAGTACCGATACATCTACAATATAGGGCTTCCCTGGTGGCTTAGAGGTAAAGAAACTGCCTGTCAATGCAAGAGATGTAAGAGATGAGGGTTCAGTCCCTGAGTCGGGAAGATCCCCTGGAGAAGGACCTGGCAACCCACTCCAGTATTCTTGCCTGGAGAATTCAATGGACAGAGGAGCCTGGTGGGCTACAGTCCATAGGGTCTCAAAGAGTCAGACACAACTGAAGAGACTTGGCAAGCACGCATGCACATCTATAATATAGATGAACCTTGAAAACACTGTTAAGTGAAAAATCCTAGTCACCAAAGACTATAGATGGTATGCTTCTTTATATGAAATGTTCTGATAGGCAGATCTTTCATGACATAAAGTGAACTACTGATTGCCTAGGGCTAGCAAGAAATGGGGAGTAATAGCCAAGAGGTATAGGATTCCTTTTAAAGATGATGAAAATGTTCTGAAATTGACTTTGGTGATGGTTGCACAGCTCTGAATATACAAAAAAAATATGCAGTTGAAATCGATGATTTGTATAGCCTGTGAATTGTATCTCAACAAAGCTGTGGAAAAAAAATCAGGCAACAAGCTTGAGAGAAATCTAATGTATTTTAAAGCTGTGCTCATGGCATTGGAGGACACCCTTGAAAATTAAATCCACTCATAACCCAACAATACTATGTTTGCTGTTTAACGTATCTCCCTTGGTCAATTAATAAAATTAATTTGTTAATTTAAATGTAACATCTATAAAATTGTCCCTTCTTAGCAGGTCTAATTAACATCTAATGGGATCAGGAAGAGAAGAGATGGTGCCTGACCAGTTCTCACATTTGATTCCAGAGAGTTCACTGGGAGTGGTTTCTCTTTTCTCTAGACTTATTAGGTTCTCATGGAAACTGCCGGTAAGTTCTCATGGAAGCATTATAGAACAGTGCCTATCATACTTTGATATGCACACCAGTCAGATGGGGATCTTAGATTAATTTAGCAGGTCTGGGGTGGGGCCTGAGAGCCTGCATTTCTAACAAGCTTCCCAGTGTTGTGGATTCTGCTGAACCATGGTCGACACTTCAAGTTGCCAGGCTCCAGGAATGCATTATCCAATGTGGCTACTGAACACTCGCAATGTTCTGATCTAAACTGAGATGTAGGTGAGTGAAGGGGAGAATGTAAATGATGTAAGATAGACACTAGATTTCAAAGATTTGGCAACAAAACAAAAGAATGTGAAATAATAATTTTTATATTTGTTGCATGCTGGAAAAATAGTATTTTGAACACATCAAATTAAATAAAATGAATTTTTTAATTAGAAGTCTTATTTGTGAGAGATACTTGTAGTCCCCTGCCCCCACCATTATTTATCTTCCCTTCTTCCTTAATAATAGACTTTCACCTGGACACATGATGGTCAGCTGAAATTAAGACTACATTTCCCAGCTTCCCTTGCAGTTAGGTGGGACCATGTGACTAATCATTGCATGAAATGTAGGGAAAAGAGCCATGTGGCTTCCAAGATCCTTTCTTAAGGGATGACACTGATGCATTCTTTGCCACCTTCTTCATTCCTTCCTCTAGACTGCTGCCTAGAATGCAAAGATATTGTCATGTCAGGCAATAAGGTCAAGGCCAGGCCCAAGAGAAGAACAAAATGTAAAGTCCATGATGGCAGAGATTTTTGTTTGTACTTTTTTTCCCTTCCTCTATTTCTATAATGCCAGTACCTAATTGGTGCTAAACAAATTTTGCTGACTAACTGATTGACGGGTGAAATGAATGAATAAATCTGGATCTCTGATACTAGTGAGGTGACATCAACTTCAGACCACCCACCAAAACTTTTACATGAAAGAGAAACAAACTTCTACCTTGCTTAAACACAAACCAAATACTAATCAATACAATATTGAGAAGTCCTATAACTGCTTTATACCACAGAAGGTTCACTTAAAATGCTAAGTTGCTGCTGCTGCTAAGTCGCTTCAATCATGTCCGACTCTGTGCGACCCCATAGACGGCAGCCCACCAGGCTACCCTGTCCCTGGGATTCTCCAGGCAAAAACACTGCAGTGGGTTGCCATTTCCTTCTCCNACCAGCAGTATTTTTCCTAACAGTCCTGGGGTATAGGTGAGTTAGCATCAAAAAGGAGCATTTTATAACAAAGAGATCAGCTGATTAAGAGAAATTTTTCTATGTCATTCTCTGTCCATCACACGTCACTACTTCTAAATCACAAAAGGACTTTTATATTAGAGAGGTTAGTAACAGCATATTTTAAGCAAAAACAACTGTTTTCCTCTTAGTTTTAAGAAAAAGATTTCAATTCATTTACCCAAGTTTTTTGCTTTGCTGATGTCTGAGAAGAATTATCTCTTTTTGCATTGCTCTGTTAAAGAAAATACCTTTGTGCTTCTAGAAATGCCACTAGGCTACCTAACTCTGGTGTGCAAACAGATGGGGATGAAAGTCCCATCGATAACGTGTGAAGCACCGTGTCCTAGTTCCCTATTCTTAGGGGAGCAAGAGAGGCAAGAGGATTCCAATAAGCCCCGAGTGGGTAGCAGATAAGATCGGGGATAGAGTTGGGGTGGACCAGAAAGGTCCAGAGAGGACCGATATGGACCTGTCCTGGGTGTTTGCACTTGAGGCCATTTCCAAGGTTGAGGATAGCTGCTATCACCCATCAGCAGAAAGTCAAGGAGAACGTCCATGTGATTTTTCACCCTTCCATTTCCTGTACCCTGGAGGCCTCATCCTTCATTCCAAGCTCGCCAGGCTTTGAAGTTGTAGGAGACCAAGAACCAGCTGCTGATCATGCTGTTAGCGCAAGTTCATGTGACTAACGCACAGTGAGGCCAAACAAACTGAAACGTCAGTTTGGAGCAGAGAAAGGTTTACTGCAGGGCACTGCAAGACTGGTGGCTCATGCTCTAAAAATCCCTGAGCTCCCCATAGGGTTTCAGCAAAGCATATTTAAAGGCCAAGTGAAGGAGAGCGGTCTCAGAATCAGTTTGAGCACAAGTGTCTGACGGGCTGATGATGAAGGAACATGGTGGGGTCACAAGGTTAACCTTATCCGTCCTTAGGCTCCAGGAAGCCTGGGGCTGTGTGCTCATGATAGTCAAGTAGTCAACATCTTCCACGCAGTGGGGGGTTTTCATATCTGCCACACAACTCAGGAAATGTGCATCAAATACTGTTATCTAGGTACTTCAGAGGGGAGCTAAAGCAGAGGATGTGGGGGAAGGCCACTCCGTTACAGTGCTGGATTCATGACTGGTCACAATGACAGGTTCTTTTGTTGCTAGGAGGAGCCCTCTGTGACACCAGAGGAACTCTGGAAGAACAGTTTAGTCACATAGCACTCACACTGGCCGCATCATTATCCTACCAGATTGGAAGCCTCGCGTTTACTGTTAGAGAGCTGATCCATAACCCCAATGCCAGCACATTTCTTTTCTGGATGTACCAGGGACGCTTCTAGACAGAAAGCATCTGATGTATAAGTTCTCTTTTAATTGACTAAGAGGGAACTTAAATATCAGATGCTTTAATATACCATCGGCACAAATTTTCCCAGAGCTAAGTTCCAAACTAGAACTGAGTGAAGTACCTTTAAATACAGTGTTTAAAAACTCTAGGGCTACAGGATAGTATTTAATGCCTGATTTGTGACATTTTGGAGAGGATGGGAATTCTGGGGTATGAGAAGGTAGAAGTGCATAACAACATAAAAATACAAAAGAGGCGAATGCACAGAGTGAAGTTCATCTGTGAGGCTAGGACAAGTGGCATGGCAAGCAAAGGCTGCTAAGGGATGAAGCTGGAGAGACCAACAAAGATCAATGGAGAACAGGTCTGGCTAAGAAACTGGACTTTGGTCTACTATGAATGGGGAGGCACTGGAGATTTTAGAAGCTGAGAGAGACAAAGTAAATGTGTATTTTGAAACATAAACATAACAGCATAGTGGTTGAATGCATAGAGTTGTGAGTCACTGGAAGCAGCTACTGCAATTGCATAGGTGTAAGACTGTGACAGGAGGGGTATTGGGAGGAAGGGAGGGTGGCTCTTTGGTGGCTGCTGGTCTTGGGATAGAAGGGAGCAAGCCTCATCTGCAGATGACCTTCAGATTTCTGACTTGGGATCTGGAGAGATGGAAACAGAGAAGCAGCTTGACTTCCTTGGAGGTCCAGTGGTTAAGACTTGGCCTTTCAGTGCAGGGAGTGAGGGTTTGATCCCACATGCAGCCAAAACACTAAATATAAAACAGAACCAATATTGCAACAAACTCAATAAAGACTTAAAAAAAAATAGAGCAGCTTAGGAAGTGGAGGATAAAGATGAGGAGGTCTGTTCTAGACAGTGAGTTTAGGATGCTTATGGGAGACCCACATGGGAGACTTCTGCAAAACTGCCTGGGTCTACATGACCCTACTTTTTCCAGGCCAAGGGATATCTTTCCACTTATTTTCACAATGTCATCTCATGTGTCAGAGGAGGGTGCGGAGGCCCGGTTCAGCTTCCAGTGGTAAAACCACCTCCTTCTAGGAGCAACTGTCACCATTTTTTCAGCACTTCCTGTCTGTTCGGCACTGGGTCCCCAGCTTTCCATGCATTCTCTGTTTATCCCACAACAATGCTTTGAGCTAGTTATCATCCTATCTCTTATGTGGGCAGCCTGAGAACTAAGACTGAGATAGAGTAGCTGACATGCCCAAGTTTTCACAGCTAGAAAGTCGCAGAATTGGTGTTTAAACCAGAGCCTTCAAATTCCTCCCAATGAAAGTGAAAGTGTTAGTTGCTCAGTTGTGTCTGACTCTTTAAGACCCCGTGGACTGAAGCTCACCAGGCTCCTCTGTCCATGGGATTTCCCAGGCAAGAATACTGGAGTGGGTAGCCATTCCTTTCTCCAGGGGATCTTCCCAATCCAGGGATCGAACCTGCATCTCCTGAATTGGCAGCCAGATTCTTTACCATCTCAGCCACCAGGGAAGCCCTTCTTCCCAATGAACTTAGAGTCAACAATATCATATTGCTTCCAGATGAGGATCTGAATTGAAACCTAACAAGTTCTATAATGGTTTCATTTGAAACTCATTCATGTATTCATTCATTGAATTAACACTGAATTCCTATTAAGCTTGAACTATAAATATATAAACATAGTCAACACACCATGGGTGCAGAGAGTGGGGAGAGCAGTTGTGGTTGTATAAGAACAAATGAGTCTGTCTTCAAGGAGCTCTAAAGCAGAGGTCAGCCAACTACAGTTTAGCTACCAAATCCAGCCCACTGCCTGTTTTTGTGAATAAAGTTTTATTGGAACATAGCCACCCTATTTGTTGACATGTCTATGTTGCTTCTGCACCAACTGCGAAGTTGAGCAGCTGCAACATAGACCAAATGGACCACAAACTTAAAATATTTACTATCTATCACTTTTTAGAAAAAAATGGCCTACCTCTGGTCTAGAATCAGAATTACAGAGGCATCGACTATAGATGAAATCTAGATTATTAAAATGGCATAGGGACTTCCCTGGTGATTCAATGGCTAAGACTTCGCCTTACAATGCAGGGGGTGAGGGTTCGGTCCCTGGTCAGGGAACTGAGAGCCCACATGCCTCATGACCAAAAAAATAATAAAGAAACATGAAACAGAAGTAATATTGTAACAAATTCAATAAAGACTTTAAAAATGGCCCACATCAAAACATATTTTTAAAAAACTAAATAAAATGGCACAAATTAAAAGTTGTGGAGATGCCAAGGAGAGCAACTAAAGCCACAGACACGATTGACTCAGGAGGAGGTTTTGACAAAGCCATGGGCTATCAGGAAGAGATTCCAGCCTGGAAGCACCACTCTACCCACCGTGTGCCTGTGCTTGAAGGCACACAGTCCAGGGCAGGGTAGGATATGCTCAGGCCCTTGGAAAGTAATCATCTAGGTCTCTTTCCAGAGCATCAGAAGTCATGGAGTGCTTCTGGCTCTGCCGTTGCTGGGCTGCAGGACCTTGAGCTGATCTACTTACCTCCTGGTCCTCAGATATCAGTTATCTCTTACTGGCCTATCAGGTTGTGAGACCCAAATGTTGGGGGGCGGGGGGGAAGTCCCTGAGTGACTTGTGAAAAACTGAAGCACTCTGCAAATTCTGGGGGTCCTTGGGGCGATTGTATGCACACACAGACTGTCTTGAAGATCGTCACACGTAGCACTCAGAAGCAAAATTATCAGCCTTGAATGTGAAATTGCCTTTGTCCCCAGTTGAGCACACTCCATATTTTATTAATTCACTCAGAATGCAGCTTGGTATGTTACAAAAGAATTTTTCCCTGAGAGGAGTCGTTTTCAAGCTGGGAATGTGTGGACATCCCACCCCAAGAGATGATCCTGTGTTCTCTTGGAGGTGGAGGCAGCCCGGAGGTTGGAGCTGGTGTGAGTTGACGCTGGAGGTCTGAACCCAAGGGAACACGTTCTGTCTGGAACCATCACAAAAGGGTCTCTGCAGATCCTCAGCCAGCTGGCCCAGCTCTGCTAGACACTGTGTTCCCACTCCCTCTCCCTTCCTGCAGGAAGCACCTCCTCTGGCCCAGCCTCCATGATGCTTTTCTGCTCACACCCTTGAACCCATATCCCCAGTCCGAGGTGGAGCCCGCGGAGCTGTCAGTGCCGCCTGGCCGCAGCACCTGGCTCGCCTCCCTCCGCGCCGGGCCAAAGCCTCAGACGCAGGAGAAACCAGAGCTCGCTCAGCTGGCCAGCGCAGGGGCTTCCTGTCCAAGTGTTTGCGGCTGGGCTTCCTGCTGACGGAAGGGCGGCTGCAGCAGCTCGCCTCTGACATCCCAAGCGGCGGCTCCCAGAGCACGCCCAGCTGGCACCCGTGCGGGAGCCGCGGGGCTGCACTCACAGCTGTCAGACAGCATTCCCAGGGATCCAGGGGTCCGGCCTGCAGAGCTATAAAGGGGATTCCTTTGGGGAGGGAGGAAGCAGTGAATCAGCCCAGAAACGCTGGAGCTCAGGCTTGTCCTAGGCAGACAGCCAGAGCATGCCTCACATACACCGCACCCTCCGCACTGACCGACCTCCTTGCTTCACATGTGCCCTCTCCCTGGCCACCTGCGCACTTCCGTCTGCGTCCCTCCGTGAGTCTCCACCGCACTGCTTCCCTCTGCCCCAGGTGGCCTGGGAACCGGGCCCAAGCACTCAGGTGATAGCCCACCCTGCCTGTGACCTCATGTCCTTAAGGAATTTAACTTCACGGAGAATCGGCTCCCCCTTCACAAGTGGAAACTGGAGAATGCGAATATTGTCTCAGCATTCCCTGTTTATTTTCCCACATTTTAAGGGCGGTGACATAGGAAATGGGGTTAGACTTATTCTCTCTAGTTCCAAAGATCAGAACAAGCATTCCATGGAGGCAGAATTTGGTTTAAATAAGGGGAAATGAACCCACAAAATAGACTGTCTTCTAAGGTAGTGTGCATCCTGTAACCTGTGCCTAAAGGTATTCAACAGACACTGTTTGCAGACTTTCAAGTGCTAGACCGTAAGCTCCATGAGCACTTCTGTCTCACTTCCTAATAGGCATATTGGTCTGTCTCATGGCCTGCCATGGAGCTTTCTGCCCCAGAGACTGCTATTATGACCTAACATGAAAACTGGTGCTCTATTAAAAGCACCAGAGGTACTCCTATCCTTTGAAAAAGGTAAGGAAGCTGATCTACCACGCACACACACACACACACACACACACACACACATCCTCCTTTTCCCCAGCTTACTCCCAGCAGGGATAACACTTGGGCATCACCACTAACTGCAGTAACCATCACTGGATCTGGGACTATTTCCAGAGGCAAGTTTACTCTCCAGGGCAGACGATCCTGATTACTGCTTGGAAAGATGTGTTCTTTTCCAAAGGTCTGAAAAGCTGGAGGTAGGGAGGTCATTTGCCCTTCTGCCCTCCCCTCTGCACTTCCTCTGTTCTCTCTCATGGGGGACTGGCCTCTGCATGCTGCATTTGCTCAAGTCCCAACCAATCAGGAGATTACGAGGAAGAGGAGGGTAAAAACCAGAGCTTTCTCCCCACACCCTCTCCCTCTATCTGGCGGATCACCTCTGGGGTCCCCATCCCTGCCAGGGAACTTCTGCCAGGACTCTAGCTTTCTCTGGGTTCTGGGAACACTCCCTCTGCTCCAGCCTTCCAGCAGGCATGGTGTCGTTTTTTCCTGTGGCTGCTACTCTCAAGGCCGGCTTTCACCCACATC